AAACCTGTGCTTACAGGTAGTAATTTAGATGGAATGAATTCACATGGTGATACGGTTGTACCTGAAAAAGCAGCTGAAGCTAATCTTGATCGTCATATACATGGTTTGCATCCACATACAGCAAATGAATAAAAAAAACAGTATTAAAATATTTTCATTGAAATGAACAATCAAACAGTTATGTTTTTTTTTTTGGTTGTTTGTGACATTTGATTTATATAAATATATTTCTTTTTTTGCGTGAGTTACCAGCAGCAAATTAGACGTTAACAAATGCCTTTCTTTCCCTTTTTTTTTGTTTTTTGAACATTTTCTTCAGTATTATTTGTATCAAACATAAAAACGCTTGTTTTTGGTGTGGTGAAACTTTATAATATGAATGAAACTTTTTTTCGCTTATTTAAAAATCAAGCAATATTATTTAGATATATGTACTCGCTAATAGAATTAACTTTTATTTCTCTTGCGACTGGGTATAACATATAAGCTAAAACAATTTACCATTGAGCAATATTGATGAACTTCTTGAAAGCTTGAAAACAATATATTTGCAATATTGAATTCGAAAAATTCCATTTACATATAATAAACTCGCAATTAGAACAAACATTATTTCAAGTGTGTCAATTATAATCACATCTCAATAGTGTTGAAGTCAAAATCAAACTTGTAAATAAAAATACGTAATAAAAATTTTCTTCAAATATGAATCATTTTGCACATTAATTTAATATACATATATATATATATTTATTTATTTATTTATTATTATATAATATTATTATTTTAATTAAAATATTTCAGATTCTGTTTTGATGACCTTGTCCCATGAGACAAGGATGATCACCGAAACTGAATTGATTTTTTCACCGGAACGTACATCAAATAATTCATTTCATATATTCTCTAGCAAAAAAGTAGATAAAACGTTTTATTTTTGTTCTACTTATTTATTTATTTATTTATATAAGACAAGTCATCGTGGTACAACATTAAATAAACCACCAAAACCTGTTTCATGTCGTGTTTTTCGATATTTTACGCCAGCTGCTGCTACTGCTAGATCAGCAAATGCTATTTCAGTTAGTACAGATTCTTATGGTGTGGGTATGTATTATTCAAAATATTTTTTCTCTGTATGATAAAATATTTTTAGCATTAGAAAGTCCATTTTATACAAAATCAGATACATCGACTTATTGGGATCAATGTTTTGAACATCTTGAATGTCTCGGTCGTGGTTCATTTGCTGAAGTAAAAATGATACACTTTTAATTTCCATTAATATCTTTTTTTTCTTGTATTTTAAGGTTTATAAAGTTCGCCATAAAGAAGATAATCAATTATATGCTATTAAACGTTCATTAACTAAATTTCGTGGCAAATCTGATCGGTAAAAAATTTTGTTTAAGAGTATCTCCTCTCCATCTTTCCAAGGTTTCTGGAAAACGGCATATCAGAAAAATTTGAAATTTTCAGATCGGATGGATCCTGACGAATAGAGCAAAAATTGTTATAGACTCAAAGTTCTTGGATACTGTCTTCTATGATATACTGGAATCGTAATGCACTCTCCAGTTTCTTCGAGATGCTACGGTTGATTGAGCTGAAAATTTGTTTTTGCAGACACTAGACACTATTTAGGATGGGTATCTTTTTAATTTTTGTCTTTCGAATAAAAAAAAGACGAAATATCGAAGGTATCTTAAAAAACACATGTTTTTTGAAACAAAAAGAAACTATCCATCCCAAACAGTGTTTAGTATATGTGAAAAAAGATTTCAGCTCAATTGAACGTACTATGTCAGAGAAACAGGAGTGTTTCTGGATTTATTTTCTTCATGAAAACGTTCGTTTGAGAAAAACACGATTCGCTATTTTCGTTACTTGAAGTTGATTTCTTCTCGTTTGAGTCACGAAAGGAGAGGAGTGGTAATCTTAAAATAGATTTTTTGTTTATTTTACTAGAATTTATTTTTTGTTTTGTATAGTGATCAAAAATTAAAAGAAGTTCGTTTTCATGAAGCACTTGCAACGCATAGAAATATTCTTAAAATAATTCATGCATGGGAAGAACGTGAACGTTTATATATTCAAACAGAACTTTGTGAAAGCAAGTAAGTAAAAGTAATATTTGATTTAAATACTAATTATGTTTGGTTTTTTAATTTTTTTAAAGTTTATTAGAATATTCAGCAGAAAACTCAATGACACAATCAATGATTTGGCATTTTCTGTATCAAATTAGTCGAGTAAAAAAAAGAAAAAACAAAGAATAAATTTTTGTTTTTGTATTAAGTGTTTTTTTTTTGTCAAGGCTCTTGATTTTCTTCATTCTTTATATTATGTTCATATGGATGTAAGTTTAAAAGAAAAAAAATCAAGTAAATAATTAATTCATTTCTTTTGTGTACTAAAGGTTAAACCAGAAAATGTCTTAATTACATATGATGGTATTCTTAAACTTTGTGATTTTGGTATTGTACATGATTTACGAAGTGTAAGAAAATATCTTTTGTTTTTTTTTGAAATAAAAAAAACCAAACTTCATAAATTGTTTATTTTTAGGCATCAACTTTAGCACAAGATGGTGATGCACGTTATCTTGCATTTGAGATTCTTTCAGGTACAATATCAACAGCAGCTGATGTATTTAGTTTAGGTATGGCAGCGCTTGAATTAGTTAGTGATTATGATATGCCTGTAACCGGTGATCTTTGGACAAATATACGTGAATTAAAATTACCAACAGAAATTATATCAGGTATATAATTATTTATTTATTTATCTAATTAATTCATTTTTCTTCCTTTCTTGTTTAGTTTTAACTGATATTGAATTAAAACAACTTTTACTTCGAATGATACATAGTGATTATAAAATACGACCATCAGCAAAAGATATTCTTGATAGTCCAACAATTCATGATCAAGTAAATAAAAAAGAAATACATATATATATATAAATATTTGTTTGTTTGTTTTCATTGTATAGATTTGTCATATGCCATCACCATTTGCATATAATCAACGTCGACATGAACATGTATAACATTAAAATAGAATTAAATATAAAATAGAATTTTTGTTTGTTTCTTGTTTATGATAGACTGTTTCCTCAACTGGTGGAAATAATTCTCCTACTAGTCATGGTTGTCATACACCTATAAAAAAACCGAAACGACCACCGAATTATTGTGGTTATCATGATGAGCATTCAGATGGTTTGTATGAAATTATTTTTATTTTTGTAAAATATTTAGCTTATTTTCTTTTATAGATGAACTTCGATCTCATTCTTTTCATGATACTTCTCGATTGTAAGTATAAAGATATTTCGTAGAAAAATATGGTCGAATTTCAAATTAGTATGTACTAACTCCAATTCGACTGACAAGGGAACTACTACTTCGACTGTAACTTATCGTTTGAACTCATATTAGACCCTAAGAAAGGTTTTGGTAAGACTAGTAAAAGTCTAAAAGGATTCGTTCCTATGACTAAGTTATGATCGTTTTACAGAATTTTCAGCTCGTTTTTTAAGTATTTACTGAAAAAAAGTGGAATTTTTTCCACGGATAGGTCTAATAATCCTTAAATTATCTTGAAAATGTTAGTCAAAAAGAATGTTCCTTTGTTGAGATATTGAACTTCCAAAAAATAGCCGTTTGCCATAGATATGTCATGAAAATTGAGTTCACTTGAAAATTTAATATATCAACAGACTATGTTGCCAGATTAAATAGTAGAAAGAAGATAAATTGGTTTCATATTGTTTTATAATTTTGAGTTTTTTTTAATTATTTTCCTATTTGGCTTCATTTGTTAATATATAGAATTAAATGTATAGCGAAGAATGAAATATTTCTTTTATTAAAGTTAAATTCAATAAAAAGCCTCCTTCCTTTCCAACATATAATGGATTCAAATAAACTTATATCTGTAAAATCGAAAAAATGATAAGTTCAAAATAAATGTTTTTTATTGTTTATCCGTGAGAATATGTTTGATATCTTTTATTTATTGTTATTTTATGAAAAACTTCTTCTTTTTTTTTTGTTTTGTAGAACACCACCACCTGTTGTTGGTGATCCACTTCGAATTCGTCTTTTTCCTACTGATTCAGATGAAGAAATGAATGGTGATCATTTTTATTTGTAAGTTCTTAGTCTCTTTCATGTTTTCTTTTTATTCTGTTATTTCCTATTGTTAGTCGAAAATCCCCACTTCAATTTAAATTTGACAGTAGTGGAACTGAAGATTAAATAAAAGAAAAAAATAATAATAAGCAAAAATTATTTCTTTCTTTTTCTTCTCCGGTGTTCTTTTCTATTTAAATGATTAACATGTCAGATTAAAACTTACAGTCAAAAAATTTTTTTTTGCTACTCTTTATTTTTCTTGTATTATTATTGTTACGATTCATTGATGAAAAAAATTATAATAACAAGAGAGATGTCAGATATGTGTATGTTTTGATTGTCTCCTGTCACAAAATCTCTATCAACCGATGATATTCTTTCTATACGCACGTGTCTATCTGCTTTTATTTATTATTATTATTATTATTATTGTGAATAAGTAATGTGTACAGGTTGAACAAAAACATAATAGATCTTCTTTTTGTTCTTTCTTTCATCTCTCTCTCTCTCTCTCTTTCTCGTTCTTTATTTATTTATTTTTTTGTTCTTACTGTTCGTATTGGATATGTGTGTATGTTTAACTTGTTCATCTTCTATCTTGAAAGTGTGTTTGTACAAAACAATTATTCTAAATATATATGTATATGGGTAAAATCAGCGAAAACGGGACATTCACCCGTTGTATTTG